GGACGCCGCGTGTAAGCAACCATGTTCAGGGCTCGCCCCTCCTGCGCATGGTGTCCCCCCCGCACCCGCTCTGTTTCAGATTGCAACTGAGGCCATTTCCCTCTCTGGCTACGTTCCCTCCTGTAACCCCCAAGGCCGTTCACAACCTCCTGGACCTGAACAGCTCCCAGTTCTGTGAGTGAAAGCCAAGCTTTAGTCTATTTCCTGGGAAAAGGATTTCAAACGAGAAGAGAAATACTGTAATGTTTCTTACTTTTGTGTTCTTGTGGGGAGAACACCTTCTGGTCATTCTGGACACCAGGCCCCATGGACACGACCTGCCCTGAAATAGCTCTGCGGAGGTAAGTGTTACTGTCCCCTTAGGGTTTAGAAAACAAGTCAACTAGTGAACCGAGGTAGATGGGCTGTAAGTGGTGAATACCTCAGTACAGATCAGGAATCGAGAAACAGCCAGAGCCTGTGCATGACCACTGGCCCCATCCAGTGGGGCATGAAGCCCAAGTGGTCCCATGTGCAAGACCTGGTCCAGTTCACCTTGCTGGAAGTTAGTCCTCTGACCCCCAACGCCAGTGCAGACAGGTGAGCTTTGTTTTTGCCTCTCCAGGTAAGAGGTTCTCCAAGGACCAGCCCCCCACTTTGATGTTTTCAGGTGGCTGTGAAAGCTAGCAGCCAGGTGTACCCCTCAAGGTGGGGGGAGAGCAGCACCCTGCTATAGTATTTGGAATGTGGATTCACCTCGCTTCAGTCTCTGTGGGTGTCTACAGGCTGTGAAGCTTTACCCTGAGGGTACACATCTGTATCACCCCCTCATGTCTGAGGGCCTCTTCTCCACCCTCCAGGTTCCGTTGTCTGCCTGGGGCAGAGCCTTACTCCTGGCATCATGGCCTGTTTAGGGAGAGTTGCTGTGAGACTGCAGGGCAGTGTTACCTGGACGAGTAACCCACAACCAAGTGGCCATGCAGAATGCTTCGGGATTGCATTTCCACAGTGGCTCACGTGTGGAAGCAGCGTAGCCCTAGCTGGAGGAGGGAGAACCTGCAGGGGACAGGCCTGCATAGACCCGGGGTGTCTCCTCCCACCTCTGTCGCACACGCAGCAGGACCGCATCCCAGGCAGCCAGGATGGAACGGTATAGGCATTACCCAGACACCCCTGTCAGGCAGGGTTGGGCTCAAGGGGGCGGGTCCTGACCATAGCTACCCCAAATACTATTCCTACATGAAGCCAGAAAACAGCAGGGAGGAGCTGAGTATGTGGAGGCCCTAGGGTGCACATGCGTGACAAAGCCAGCCTCTCAAAGTCAACTTGTTTTCCAGGCTCCTTTCCTCCTCAGATCTGGCGCTCTGGTCTAGAAGATTCTTCCTCACCGCTGAACTCAACTGGTGACTCACATCTCTGACCAGGGGCTGTTCAACACTGCAGGCTCCTGGAGGGTAGCAGCCCCCTACTTGGGCTCAGGGACCTTGCTCCACTGACTACCTGCGAGCTTCTAAGTGCGCGACTCATTTTACCTTAGGTTTTCAGGGCAGCCTTTGCTCTTTCGAGTCGTAGTTGAAAGCAAAAACCAGGTGCTGCAATTGACATCTTGCCAAGTAGGTAAGTAGAATTCAATTCCGGGGCTCACCTCTCATCAGCACCCACACTAACCCCTTTCTGCCTAAGATTTGATCTCAACTCACTTAGCTGGGTTCTGACTTCACCCGCATGCCACCACCCACCGTCACTGCGCACTGAGGTTCGAGGGGGTGGGAGGATGGTCACAGCGAGAAAAAGCTCTACCTGCTGCTCACTGGCACCAACTCCTGAACTGCAACAAGGCAGAGAGCTGGCCCCGCCACTCAGCCCTCACCTACTCTTCCTGGTAAGTGCTGGGCTTCGTGGAGAGGTAAGAACTCTCCGATCCCTGTGACTTGTGTCTGGCTGCTGGTACCAGGGCGAGACGGAGCCCTGCATGGCCAACACCTGCAGGTTCTAACCAGCCCTCAGCTTTTGCCTGGAATGAACAATGTGGGAAGCTACCTGGCTGGGCAAAGAAACAAAGTTTCAGCTGTGACTCCTTGACTGTACCATAGGAGGCTGGCAGTCATGGTTCCAGGTGTCCTGTGACACTCACTGTGCAAGGATGACACCCAGAATGCATGAAGTCTGGTGTGGACACTGTGGAAGTAACAAAAGCCCCCAATTCAGGCTCTTTCTTTCCATAGCCAGGGGAACACTTGAGCTTTACCACAAAGTTCTGAGGCCTGGCAGAAAAATCACATCAGAAAGGCAGATGCACGCTACACCTCATCTGCCCACTGCCATGGGGGAAACCCTGGAGAGAGCTTCCTGGGGCAGAAACCACCCTTCCCTACACGAGGAGCATCCGCTTCGAGGTAAAACGGCTAATGAAAGCACAATGGATGCAGCAGAGTGTGACAAGAGCTTGCTGGTTGTGTTTCTATAACTCTGCCCGGTGACATGCAGCAGTTTCTTTCTACCTCAGGGCACTAAGGGGACCCAGGACGGGTCTTTGGGAGGATCATACCTGGGTACCTCCTGCCAAGTCTGCTGGCACGGTGACATTGAGGGCAACATGCAGGGAATGTGAGAGACAGGGGGACGGCACAGGCTTGAGCTATAGCGCCACCTTTTGGAAGGCAGAAAAGAGGGGTCCAGCCCCGTGAGTGAGTTGTAAGGACCAATGAAATAGAAGCTTAAGAATTCTGTCACCATTGGACAGATGTAGCTCTACCAAGGGAGAAAATCCTGGATGGCAACAGCAGGGCATTTAGAGTGTGTTTTAGTTAAAAACGTAAGTAAAATGGTAATACCGTTTCTTGATTTTTCAAAGGTAGTAATTCTGCATACCCGAGTCCAAGGCATGGATTCAAGTGAGACAGTTAGCAAAGAGTGAGCTGTAGAACTCAATGAAAAAATGCAATAGAGCATCAGGATAGGTATTCTAAAAAAACCCAGGTAGAGGAAAAGAATGGAATAATCTATTACCTTTATGAATCTGGATGTCCAATTGTTCCTCTAGAATATTTCAAAGATAATTGAAAAGGCAGGGAAAGGAACTCCTATTAGGCTAAGCAGACTTTTCAGCAAAAATTCTACAGGCCAGAAGAAAATGGAATATTATATTGAAAGTGTTGACATTAAAAAGCTGATGTAGTTCACCACTAGACAAGCGTTGTAAGAAGTGCTAACATTTATGGTGAAGTGCAAGACTGTGATCAGTGATATGAAAACATACAAATGTGTACACCTGAAAAGTAACTGTAGCTACTGTAAATATATAAAGAACACACACCACAAAAGTAGCCAATGACAGGAGAAATATAAAAGGATGGGAAAGGATTATAGATGATCGAAATTATGTTGTTAATATTGCAAAGTAGGTCCTTACATATCACTGACTCTATAAGTGGGTGAATAATTAAAAGACACATAACTGGGATGCAAGTAAGATCTCTATGCCAAGTGGAAGACAAAAGAAAGCAGGTATCCCAGTAAGCTTAACGCCCAAACACACAGTGGTCACTATGTAAAGGGATCAATTAATATAGAAATTATAACAAGTGTAAATATGTACACTCAATATTAGAGTGCCTAGTATAATAAGCAAATATTGGGTATAATAAAAACAGCAATGATATGTAATTGTATAGCAATAAAATTTTTAAAAGATCTCAAATGAATAAATCTATACTTGTGCTTCAAGGAATTAAAGAACAAATCAAGCCCAAAGTTATCAGGAGGAAAAAAATAACACAGAGTGGAAACAGTTCATTGATCAAGTCTAAGAGCTGGTGATAAACACACTCAAAAGATTCTAATCAGTAATGCAAAGGATAATAAGAAACTACATATTTCTTTAACTTACTAACATGAAAACATACAAATGTATACACAACACAAAAGCAGCCACTAATGACATGAGAAATATAAAAGGGTGTGTAAGGGGTATAGATGATCAAAATTAAGATTCTACCAAAACTTGACAATCTTAGACAAATCTGTTTGACAAGAAAACAGCAAAATTC